GAGGTGTTTCACCACAGCATGTAATTATGAGAACAGAAAGTGGAAATGGCCGTATCTTGATGGTGGTTATGGTGTGAAAATCCAATAAAAAGCGCTTGTGGCTCTTTTGAAAAGCAGGCAGATAATTAAAGCCTAGCATCACTCTACGGTGAAGAAATTGGCAGGCCGCTTAGGACCTGCTGGTGACGGAAATGTAAAAGAAATCAATGTAGCTGTTTGAAAGCTTGATCTGTCACAATGACTTCACAGATTGAGAGCAAGAAGACAGTGAACCAAGTGCGAAATACAGCGAGACATAAAGAGGTCTTCATAGCAAAATTCAACATTGCAATACAGGCAAAGGCTTGACAAAAATGAAGCATGACAAAATGCATGGGGTTACGCATGAAAGTACATCTGCATTCACGTGATGCAGCCAAAGGACATAAAAAGACCTCACAGACTCACATTACACATGTGAGGTGTTATAATGTCAGGTTTCCAGTCTGCAGAGTTGTTCTCAGTGGAAATGAATGGTTTCCTTGCTCTTTAGACTACCTGACAACAAGGCCCAGTGCAAAGTCCATGAGAGAAGTTTCCATGACAATAAAACCAAAGGTCTATCTATAGCACTGACATTTCAAATTATATATATGTGCACGTACCAGTATCATTAGCCATTATGTGTTATTTCAGTCAAGCTCTACAGCACTTTTACAGAAAGTCACTTTCACTTTTCACAGTCTGTGAGCAGAGCAACATTTTCTCTTTCTCAAATATTTTCTCAAGTATTTATAATGCTAGTTCATGAAAAGTTCATTCATAAACAATGAAGCTGGAAAGTCATCCAGATATGATTTAGCGATGTTTTGCCAAGTAGAGCAATACTGTTTCCACTGAATATGCGTATTAACTTTTACGGGACCCATATCGAGAATATCATAGACTTGGCGGTGGGCACTTTCACCGTGGGTCAGTAAGTAACAACCTAGAAATGCCCTGGCAACCAACCACAACAAGCTGGCATTGTGACTGTGGGTTTTGCATGAACAATCACCACACAAACTTACTGTTGCCCCTAACTTTATTCACAGAGAGGGGAAAAAAGCTAAAATAGCAAAGTCTGCTTTTATTTTACAGCCCAGCTTTGCAGTTTCATACTCATACTTCAAGTTGTGACCTAATGGTTAGAGACTTGTAACCCGAAGGTTGCAGGTTCGAGTCTCAGCACCGGCAGGAATTGTAGGTGGGGAGAGCATATATATATATATATATATACTTAGTCCATATTTAGTTTCTATCTAAATAGAAACTAAACATGGCTCTTCTTTGGGGCAAATCAGGGGCGAAGTGAATATTACAAACAAAATTTACAAATAGAACAACTCTTTCAAGATAATCTAAATAGTCACTTTTGTAGCCACTAGGTAAGCCACTTTGACTTCATTTTCTCTGAAAGAACTGTTCAGTTTAATTTGTCACATGACTTTTTGATGCGTTTCCAAACGTGGAACAGGTATTTGATGCAATTCTTTCTCTTTTCCTCTGTGCATTTATTACTGGCATTATTCCCACCAGTGGCTCTCAAAGGCACTGCTTCCATAACAAAAAAAGCAGGTGTTGTGTAAGCGTGACCTCGGCACCTTGAGCAGTGCATCTGTATCTGAACATCTGGCCGATGTAATGCCGATGTAAGCGAGATGGGACGGACAGCTCACAGCTACGAGGTCAGACAACCTTTGGCCTCTCTTGTTGATGTTCAGGAGCAGCTTCCAGCAGGGATTGCCTGTCATGTCGGTGGGCCGCTGTGGGCCCTGACAAACATGCCCTAGCTGTACCCTGACTGAGAGGAGCCATATGGCAATGGAGGCAGAACGAACATGTCCCGTGAACAAAGGTGTTGGAGCGTCAAGCGTCTGTGGTGCCATGTACCCTGATCACTACACCGCAGGTCTGGGCTCAGACCTTCCCAGCAGCCACATGTTCTAAACCCCCAGCCTCATTAGTGCTGGAAGAGGTACCGTCACCTCTGTTCGGGACAGGAGAGTGACCAAGCATGCTACGTGCCTCAGTGAGCCGGCGAAGAAAAGAGTGCAAAAAGGGTTCGCCTGATTGATTTACATACCCAAATTTATTACAGGGGAGAATATGATGTAAAACACCACGACAGTGCCACATCTAAGAGCAGCCTGATTAAGGTCGACATGTGCCGTCCTTACAAGGGGAGAATTTGGAAATAATGCGACAGTAATCCAGGCAGCCTGATGAAGATGAGCATGCCAGAAACCCAACTCTCTGGCGACCAGCAATTACACATTCCCTCTCTGGCACATCTTTTATATATGGAAAGTGCAACCCAAACAGAGCGAGGGCTGTTCAGAGGACAAGATAAAGGGATGATGGGAAGAGAGGCATCATACATTAAAGATGCAAGGATATGCGCACTTTGACCTTGCTGCATTAACTTCAGAAATCCTAAGGCCTTGTTGCGTTTTGTAAGAAAAGCGTAACTTTCACTTGGCTGACTGCAGAGTATCCGCCTATGGAAAGCAGTGAGAAACCAATAGCTTTTCTGTTGTGACCCTGTTTTCTTGGCATGTTGTCCCTGTTGGCCCAGGTGGCAAGTATTAAAACATACTATTGCTATTTGCGTCTTGTCCTACCAAGTCGAACCAAATGATTTATGCTGTGAACACCGCACACTGACCCATAGGACTAAATCAAGAGAAGTGATTATCTGATGTGGACAAGAAATCCCCACCCAATTGACTCGATCAAATTAGGTTTGATCAAAGTAGATTAACTAAAATGAAGGAGTAATGGGAAATGTGAAAGGTGTTTGGCATCTAAACTTCACTTGCAAGAAGCTCATTTCTGTTTGAGCAGCTGTTCGGGCAAGAAACAAAAAGTGGCAATTATTTAACCAAAATCTTATGAGCATAAGTGCTGATATTCAGATCAGCAGCATGACTGGGAATGTGATATTGCTTTTATCCAACAGTTCAATAAACAAGAGGTCAATATTCAGCAACTAACATTTTAGACAACACTACCAGTTACATTATCTCGTTTTGCTCTGCCAAAGAAAATAGTTCAAAACAAACCCAGAGCAGGATCAACCATTATGTTTCTTACATATCTCACGAGCAACAGGCGTGTTTTGCATAAAATTAAAAAGGTTTAATTTGACTTTGTTTATAATTGTATATGATTTTAACAGCCATATTGAAAGCGACAATGGATCATTTTCCTAAGATCTTGAAAATTATTTAAAGGCAGCAAGAATGTTCAAACTGTGAATTTATTGGTGTAAACGAACAATTGGATTTCATGAAAAAGAATGTATGGGATGGATTGAGATTGATTTTGTTTTGTCTTATAACTGTCACCATAGTCAAATTGTTTGTCAAATTGCTTGTCGTTGAAATCTTATTGCATTGCATTTTGTTAGGACATGGTGTGAAAGTCCTTACAATCGATACATTTGTGAATACCTCATACAATTTATTGCACACTGTTCCTTATTCTGGACGGATAACCATGTGACCAACCAATAAAACAACAAGCCAATTTATTTTTTACACAACCATTAGGGCAGGTATTTTGGAAATTGAGGAATCACAATGATAAATTTCATAATTCTGGGTACATAATTAACGTAAAATAACACTGTTCATTTAATGATTTTAGCAAATTTCTGAACATATTATTAAGATGTGTGGTATTATATAACTGGAGAATATTTGCTAAATGGTAGGCCATGACTCCAATAATAACATTAAAATAGCAACTACCGAGCAAGAAACAGTTACAGTACACACCTATCCAACATGATCACTAACTGTATCCTTCATAATTACTCACAAAGCATAAGTTATTGTTTAGCTGAAAACTGGTGAAGAATTTTAAAAAAAGGCAAGTGTCGTATGCATGAATCTCAAATATCAATTGTTCCCTTTCATTGGTTCCTTTGCAAACCACTTCCAAACCCCATTTGAATGTCTAATAGAAGACATTATCTGTAATCAAGAGTGGCTAAACACAATAAATGTGACAGGCGAAAAGCTCTGGAGCCTGACAATGTGAAGGTTACTCAAGAACAAGCCTGAGTATAAAGACTTCCACTGATAATGCTCACTCACCAGGCTCATTAAACCAATGTTAACGTGCTTGTCTCTGTGAAATACATCACACTACTCGATTCAAAAGCACTAGACTGATGCAAACTAGAGGAACATCTAGTTTTAGCGGGTTTCAGGTTGGTACACCTTGTTTTTTGTCTGTGGAGACAGATGTGGGTAAAGCACATCAGCCTAAAGGTAGCTGTCTTCGTGCTTAGAAAATAGAGGAATTTATTTAGTGGAAAAGCAGAAATTATGTTGTGATTAGCCTCTTTTCAACCTTATTTTCCTCTGACAGGTCTCGTATATAATTGAATAATCAAACTGGAAGAGACAAAAAAGCTTTTGCTGGAACAAATGTATAGAATCGAGCAGGCAATCAAAACAGAAGTGGAGGAAAGATCAAGCAGCTCTATATATAGCGTAAAAACTGATGAGAATGAAACGCACACAGTCTCTCTCTATTCCCCACCTAGACACAAAGTGAGTGGGGCAAAAAACATCAACAATACGCTCTGACTGCAGTCTTTCTCTCAGAAATTAAAGCAATCATTGGGTCTAATGCAGGCTGAGGAGATAGAGGCCTCATGCGGGAGGAGAGCAGAGGGCTTCCTGTCTCAGAGAAATGGGCATTGAATACTGATTACGGTCACCTAATAGAAAGTAATGAGAGAGGCTTATGGTCCAGTGCCTTTTGCTTTCCTGGCCAGAGCAGCGAGCACTCTCCACTAAAGGCCAAAGCACTGGTGCACTGATTGGGGCTGACACTGGAGCTGAAGGGGGCTGGGGGGTATGGGTTAGTCAGAGACAGAGAGAGATAAAGAGAAAGAGAGAGAGGACACAAGCAGAAAAAAGGAGAGTGCAGATCTAAGTAGGGTGTGCTTCACCAAGGGTACGCACCATCAAGCCGGCTGACCAGCTCCTCCAGTGCTTTCACTTTCCTCTGGATCCCAGGCTGGGCAAAGGTGTAGTTGTCCTTGAGGGAAAGAGAGAGAGATGAGAAACTTAAAACTGTACACATATTTGCCCAATTAAATACACAACATAAACACAAATTTGCTAAATATAAATTGTGGGAAAAAAATAAATAATAAAAAAAAATAAATGAAAAAAATAAATAAATAAATGAGTTAATTCTTCCTAAATGCCTTTAAAGGGGACCTATTATGCCCCTTTTTACAAAATGTAAAATAAGTCTCTGATGACCCCAGAGTGTGTATGTGAAGTTTTAGCTCAAAATACCCCACAGGTAATATTTATAGCTTGTTGAAATTGCCACTTTTAGGGTATGAGCCAAAACGCGCCGTTTTTGTGTTTGTCCCTTTAAATGCAAATAAGCTGGTGCTCCTATCTCCCTTTTCAGAATAGGGCGGAGCTTCAAGATCTCATGCTTCGGCATACCAATGCTGGCCTTTGCAAATAAACATCCCACTATTAGTACAAGCCTGTTATCTTTACAGAAACCATACTCTGTTCAAAAGTCAGTCATCTGATTGTAATATGCATAATAAATGCGCATTTATGAATTACACAGACGGGGAGCACGGCACAATAAAAATAATGACATAGCTGGTCTCATGGTGCCCGACTTTACTAACTCTAAGGCCCCGTCCACGCGGAGAAGTTTTTAGCTGTATATGCATACATTTTGTATCATATAGGCGTTTCGTCCAGACGGATCCTGCGTTTTGGGAGAGTGAAACCAATATTTTTTTAAACCGGGTCCCAGAGTGGATAAATCTGAAAACGCCACCCTTGCGTTTTCATGTGGACAGCGAATCCGTATATTTTCGGATGATGATGTCATCAGCCCACGTCTCGCCAAGTCAGACAACCGCTACGTCACGTAACAGCAACAAAAACATGAACAAACACTGAACGATTGTCTTTTTTATTATCTAACATTAACAGATTAATAAATGTATTGTTCCATGTTCGTTTGTATACCACATGCAAGGTTTATGCACATAGTCCAAGTCTTCTTCTACGTTTTAGTGTATCTCTGTGGCAGAATTACAGCGCCACATGCTGGTCTGGCATGTATACTACATC